AAGTGTGTCTGCACTGATATCTTTAGTATGCTTTATAGGTATCATTCTGTTGTGTCATGCATTGTCAGAAGTGACAAACGTGGTCACTAGATGTGGGCATTTCAGTGATTGAAGTTGTTAATAGAAAAAAACTTTCTGCTTGACATTACCAGAAAGGTATTACATTACGATTTGGATTCAGGAAAGGAGATTATTGAAGCTGGAATATATCCAGGTGCTATGAAGCTACCCCTTCCTCACTTGCAAAATGTAGGTCCTGATCTTTTATGATCAAAAGTGTTCAGCAGTGATTCTACATTTCCAATAAATGCATTTCATATGAGGCCATGATACTTTATTCATAGAATGTCCAGCCTCTCCTCTGCTAGTAAAAATGATGCCTTTGTTATTCACTAGGAAGGAGTGACACTCACTGGCCAGAATATTTAGTGCCATAAATCAAGTGAATTCAAAGGGTCCTTTGAATGGTTTTAATGCTTGTTTTAGAAACAGAGAGAGTCTCAACACACAAATATAGGAAGGAAGCAACAATTAGCTGGAAATTACAAAACTTGAAGGATGTGTTAGCATCTTTTGGACAGTTTACATCTTACAGTAAATAAATAGCACCAAGTGCTCTGTATTATACATCCTTACAGACATACATCCTGACACATTGCACCACCTTTTTCTGAAGTTTTTGTAAACCTCCTTTTTTTTAAGATTTATGAATATGATTATTTTTACTGAGGTCGAATAAGAGATGTAGTTGAAGATGTAGTGATAATATCTTCAGGGTATGTAAGAATACCCAGTTCTTCTCTTTGCTTAGCTTAAAGTGGAAAAGGAGAAAAGGTGTAAAGTGAATGGTCATCCTCAGTATCTTGCTAAACAATATTTAGAATGTGAATTACCCCTGGCTTTTTATTTGTTATGTGATAAAACCAACAGACTCTCTAGTTTCAAGAAGTGCTTAGCAAATTTATGCTTGAGTTGTTTGATGTGGTTATTTCAGGGACCAGCGAAGTTCCTATGTTTCCATGACTGTTGACTGGAGGATGGTCTGAGCTTTGAGAGATCTAAGTTTCATATGCTTTTGATACTGTTACGATGTATGGACAAGTCTGCTCATCTCTTTATATCTTTCTCCATTTGCTCATCACTGGGATTGCTAACTGGAAAAAAAGTCTGTCTGGATAAAGACACTGCATGGTGGAGCCAAGTATCCAACCAAGGGGGGTACTTGGTGTTTGTGAGGGCTTCTGTGTACTAATGTACTCCTCTCATATTAAACATAAAAGGAGAGTCTTATAACCCCAACTAACTTACTTTTATATCTGCATTTTCTTTACATGGAAAACAGTACTATGTAAAGGAAAGGCTAAAGATCTGTGTATTTCCACACCTAGATTCTTCTAGTGTTGGATGCTGGCAACACACTTATGCTGTAAACTCATCAGCTTGCTCTTTGCCATCTGACAAAGGCTGGCTTGTGTTTCAGTGGCTCTTCTCCATCCACACTTTGCTTCTATTTTTGCAGTATCACTCTCCAGTAGGCCGGCCTACGGGAAGAAAGTGGGGCTGTTGCCCCCTCTGCTGGCTGCCTTGTCTTTGGTTTGTGTAGCAGCTCATTAAAGCAATGTGTAAGTTTTCTACCCCTAGAACATGCCACCACTTTCAAAGAGATAGACATTCGAGGCTGGAAGTAAAACTACTGAATAGTATGCTCGGCAGCTTGTGTATCTTGAAGTAAAAGAAGTTGCAGAACTGGACGATGAGTTGCGTAACTAGTAAATTGTGAGATTCTGGCTAAGATCTGTCCTTTACTAAAAGAGATGCTAGCCTTGACCAAGACAAACTATGAGAGTCTTTTACCTTTCAGCCTGATTTTTTTCTAAAGACGTTTCAACCCTGGGTATTTGCCATTAACAAAGAACCAGAGAGCGTTAAGATGCCCACCATGGATGCATTTTTCTTTGCTAACACCGTCAAAAGTGGCAAAGCGGCCTCCTGAATATGAGGCCGTTAATTAATATCTGGAGAAACCAGATATTAATTTTTCAGTAAGCGCAATAAACATGTTTTCCCATTGGCTCCTTCTCTCTTTTATTTCTGGCAGCACAGGTTTCACTTATTCTTTTACACAGTGCTGCCAAATCTCAGCTTTACAAGCTGTCTCTCAGCTAAGACAAGATCAGTGCAGGGCACACTCAGGAACTCTCTCACCAAGGTAGCTGCTGTTTTAGCGTATTAGAAATGCACCATTTGCCACCCATCACCATCTAAGTTTAAGGCTTGGCTAGCCACTAAACTCTGACAGACGGTCTCTGTGATACCCCTACCACCCTCCTAGGGGAGAATAACAGGGGAACCAGGGAGAGAAAAAACACCTTGAAACAGTATAATGAAAAAGAAAATAACACTTAGAATTACAATTAAGATGTTTAACTATATATAGATATTATAAAAGCATGCAAATATATTAAAAGATCATAGAATGGCCTAGGTTGGAAGAGACCTTAGAGATACAAGAGTATATGTTAAGAATGAACCCATAACTTCCAGATGAGCCCAAGGTCCCAAGTGGAAAAAAGTCCCAGACTATACTTGGCAGCAGACAGGAGCGCCCAAGCCCAGAGTCCCAATGAAAATAGTAATAATAATAATTAAAAAAATAACCCACAAGAAAACAAACCAGAAAAGAAGCTGTGCTGCTCCCATCCAAAAAGGCAAGGGAAGACAACCTGTCCCGATGAACAGTGCTCCTCTGCAGTGTGAAAACAGGAGGCACCAGCAGCACAGGGAGAAATGACAAACAGCTAACACTAAACCCAGCACACCAAACATTAAAAAGCCTAGGGCTTCCCTTAGGAGCACTTTTATACCAAGCACCATGGGAAGGAATACCGTGATTGGCCCATTTGGGACACCTGACCCATCCTCTCCTCCCCAGAGGCACAGCTGCGGCTCCTCCCACACTGTGATTGTCACGTATATCAGGAGTCCCAGAGAACTTTTGTCCTGGTGCTCTCAGACCAGGGCAATAATTTAAACACCATATGAAGGGAGACTAAAAATTCAGATAAATAACTTTCACATCTGTAGCTGATAGAAATAGTTCAAAGTAACCTAAGACCATAATCTAATCACAAAAATTCCTGAGATAAGCATCACACAGAACTTTCCTCTGCAGATCTGGTCTTCTTCTTTATAGAAAACAGTAACTATGCAGTAATTATATTATAACAGTAAATAATTGGTAGTGAAATTCTATCTTTTAATATGAATTACAATTACATGCAAACATGAATTATAGTTGCATTACAAATACATCTTTTAGAGCCTCTTGAAGTGCACAAATAAATATTTTTTTCCAAAACTGTTTTGTATACTTCCATACCAATCACCTTATACCACGGAAGTGCAAAAGCGCACATCACCAGATACCAAATGGAGCAGTTACACAACAAATTATCACTGTCCCCCTGCTTTCAGCTCAAAAGGAAATAGAATTAACCTACTGTCCAGGGGTGATGCTAAAAAGCCCCCAAACAATCAGTTGATTAAGAACCTGGATAATCCATGTTAAAGATCTGTTTTAGTAGTGTGGCTTAAGACAGGTAAATACGCAAGAAATGCAAACTTGATTCAGAGACAGTTGTATATGTCAAGCTCTAGCTACTGCTTCAGAGATTCATTCATTAATGGTGGCCTAAGTCTTCCCAAATCTCTGCTTGTGGAAAAGAGCCCTTCCAGAGCTATATAGAAGGAAGAAGGATTTTTGTGTCTTCATGTCCAGTTTTAGGCTTGAACAAAGCTAGGTGTTTCTTGTGTGGCCCCTGAGAAACAGCTGTCTCGCTTCATCTGTGTTAACACATAGAAGCAGTGTATGAATGACTGGACCAAGCACAGCAGTTATGTGAATAGGAATTGGTTTTGGTGTTCATTATCTTCTTTTCAGCATTCCTGAAGATCCTGAGACAGTCTAAAAACCTGAAGCACTCCTACAAGAGGAAAAGGAAAGCTGAAGGGCCCTTGTGTGCCCACAGATATTAGCATTCTACTGTTTTCCCTGGTTCTAGTTGTGGTTTGAATGTACTGCATAAAGAATATCGGTGCAGGCTACCTTCCAAGGAAACCATATTCTGAGCGTTTCCATACACATGTAGATCTTTGCAAGTGCTAAACCTGAATCTGTGATGTAGATAGCTTTGTCTCCAGTCTTGCACCAGCCTCTTTTACAGACCTTGGAGCTATGTTACAACTACATCCTTTGCTGCCCTTGCCTGAAATTCGTGAATGGAAGCTGGGCCTGCCTCTCTGTCTCAGCGTGTGTGAGAAATTGCTGAAAGGCTGATGGAACTGGTTGTCCTCACTGCCTCAGCCCTACTTAGGTATTGCAAACTTGCATCCTGGTGAGTAAGGGGATGGCCTTACCTGTGCTGCTGTCATGCTTGGTGCCTGACTTCAGTGGAGCAGCCCCAGTCTCATGCTCCCTGACATCTGTGTGTGTATATATAGACATAAATAGATATCCTCTATAGTGTGTGTGTGTATATATAAAGTGCATCTGTGAGTAAATAAGTAACATTCCTATATGTATACTCCTTTATATCTGTATTTACACATATACTTTTATTTGTTTTCTGTGTTCTATATCCCATATTATATATTCATGTACTGCATGCAGGTGCCCAGGCATTGGCAGCAGGGGCTGCAGGGTGATCTCTGTGAGGAGAGGCCAGGGCTGCCCCATGCTGGGCACAGCTGGTTCCATCTGGCTCCAAAAGACCCACTGCAGGGCACAGTTTTGCCCCACAGCATAGACAGTAGTATGTCTTGGAAAATATATTTAAGGAAGAGCAAAAATGCCACATAAGCAGTCAGGAAAAGAAGTGTGAGAAACAGCCCCTCACACATCAGGATGAGAGCAGGAGGAGAGGAAGGAGATGCTCCAGGTACCCAAGCAAAGATTCCCGAGAGCTTATGCTGGAGCAGGTATTTCCTTGCAACACCTGGAAATGACCCATGTTGGAACAGACATCAACATCGCGACACATGGAGGACCCCAAGACAGAGCAGGTGGATATTTTCTGAAGGAACTACAGCCCATGGAGAGCCCATGCTGGAGCAGGGGAATTGTGGCCTATGGAGGACTCGTGCTGGAACAGGTTTATCCTGAAGGACTGCAGCCTGTAGAAGGGCCAAGGCTGGAGCTGGGGAACAGTGTGAGGAGGAGAAAGGAGGGGCAGAGACAGAGTGTTTTGGGTTGACCACAACTCCACATCCCCCATCCCCCTGTGTCACTCAGGGCATGTGTGATGGAGGGTGTAGAGGAGCTGAGAATGAAGGAGAGAAGTTGAGCCTGGGAAAGGAACGGGGGGAGGGGACATACCTTGTTTTTCTTTGTTTCTCACTATCTAAATCTATTTTTACTGGCAATAATTTAAGTTAGTTTTGCCCAAGTTGGATCAAGGTCAATCCGCTATAATTCTATAGTCTATATACTATGTATGTCTATTTCTATATATAGAAACATATGTATACACAAAGTGCTTCTGGTCCAAAGAAAATGAGCAGCCTGTCAGAGGTGGTCTGAAATCATGTGGGTATGATGGTTTCAAAAATATGGCAACCATCCAGTCACAGAGAAGTAGGAAAACAGATTGAGAATGACATAAAAAATGTTGGTCCATGGGTATATCATAGGCAGGGACATCCAGCTCTGCTGCCTTTCTGATATTGACAGGAAGAGGCAAGTTGTTCTATCAGCCAGTCACAGGGCAGTTTGCAAAAGGACAAGTCCTGGGGGCAAAAATAGGTGAAAGGAATGAACCAGGTGGCTGGAAGATGTACAGGCCTTTGGGGCAAGTGGGACACATGGTAAGTGTCCTGGGTTTGAGCTAAAACCCAGTCCTATTTAGTGATTTTTACTTTTCAGTTTAGTCTCATCTAAAAGACAATATTTTCTGAAGTTAGCAGCATGTTTTTGCAGACAGTGTGTGCTACTGGCAGTGATAACACCTGATATTCACAGTTACTGCCTGGGACTGGGATGCAGAAAGACTCTTGCTGATACTTATTCCTACAGTGACCAAGGCCACTGCTGGCTCTTGTGTGCCACGCTGGGGGTGCCGGGTAGTAAGAGGGGTCACAAGGAAGTAAAAGGTGGCACTTCTGGAGGGTAATAGATGGGATAGGTGATCAACGAGAGTATTCCATCCCACATACGTCATATTTAGTATAAATTGAGTGATCACGAGAGTTTCGGGCCTTTTGCCTTTTATGCCCTTTTCCCTTTTCGCCCTTTTCTTCTTTGCCCTTCTTTGCAATGGCCAGTGTTCAGAGAGGACTCCATCTGACCTCCTGTTTCTAATCCGGATCTTGACTTCCCGAATCCAGCTCCCTGTATCCAGCTCCCCGCCGCTGCTGCTGAGCCTGGGGCTTCCCCAGTGCCTCCTGCTCTGCAGCATCAGTGGTGATTGATATCAGGGGAGGGAGTTGGGTTTGATATCGGGCTATTATCTATAGTTGTATGTAGTTCTTTTATCACTCCCCTATTATTTCTATTATTGTTTCATTAAAGCTGTTCTAGTTTTTTTTCTTCTCTAACCTGAAAGTCTCTCTGCTTCATTCCCTTTTCCTTCCCATTTGGGGTGGGAAGAGGGGGTTAGAGAGCGTCTGTCCGTGTTAGAGGCCGGCCCAGCCCTAACCCATGACAGAGAGCAGTAGAGTAAGGGCTTCCATTGCCATTAAGGTGGTGGCACCTGTCCCTGCTCATGCTGAGTCAGGGTGGTTCTCATGCTGCTTTTGCCCTCCACCAAGCTCCCTCTGGTCTGTCATTTCTGTGTTGTACCCTGGGCCTCCATCTATGTGCACTGGTGTAGTCCATGGCAAAAGGAAACCGTCACTGCCCTCCACATGCTGGCAAGGCTAGGGGTGATGCAGGCCAAGATACGGGCAGTCTTCATCTGATATGAGTTTGGGTCTTCCCCATACCATGTGCAGAACCTGACACTTGTTCAAGTTGAATTTTATGACATTCCTGTAGGTTTATCCCTTAGCCTGTCCAGGCACCTCTAGCCACTGTCTTTGACCTCAGGTTTATTGACTGAACTCTGGTTTGGTGTTATATGTGGACTTGATGAGGTGCATTTCATCTCCTCTTCTGAAACACATATAAAAGTGTTGCCCAGGACAAATCTCTGGGTAGACTTCTAAGGAATTCATCTTGTTGTTGGTCTCTAAGTTGAAGATGAGCTTTTGCCCTTCCTAATAAGCTCTTCCTCCTCTAATTTTCATGTAAAAGTCACCAAAAGCACATTACGTGTAGTTACTGTGCTCATATTTGCTTGCTGAAATCTCTCAATTTTAATAGTAGAGCCAGCAGGGCTGTTAGTCATTTGCTTCAAAGTTTTTGAACTAAGCTTATCAGTCGTGTTTATCTTCTTCAGAAGGGTTTGTCATTGGAAAAATGCTTCATCACATCAAGGACTGTTAAGGTTTTAATTGCTGGTTTAGAATTTTAGATACAGCGTCTTGGCAGGGAATCAGAGGAAGTGACAGCTGGACAAGCTGGTACACAAGAAGGAATGTTTCTGGCTGTTAGTGGAAGAAATTTCAGTTTTCTTATTTTTCTCTTATTTTTCCGCATGACCTTAAGACACGGTAAAAAATGTAGCGCAAACATATAAGAAACTTGTCTTTCTGGTCTGTCCATCAGGTGTCTTCATATATAATTTATTTTCACCAGTTGTTTAAATGTTGAACATATTACCACTGGTGGAAAGATGGCCAAGACATTGTAACTATTAAAGTAATGGATATTCTGCCAACATCAGAGCATTTAATCAACTAGGATTCAATTGCATATTTTGTTTTCCATTTCTCATGACTTTTCAATTTTGCTTTTTTAAACTGTTTTTGGAGGAAGGAGTATATATTTTGAGACTTCTGATTTTTTTTATTGATCTGAATGGTGATACTAGTAATGTAGTAGTAACTGTTTCTTCTGTATTTTGTATGTTTTGAATTTATACAATGCATTTAATGGAACATTTTTCATTGAAGTTTCTTAAAAGTTATTTAATGCAAAATGCTGGTATTCACTTGACTAGGAAGAATTAACTGATAAAACATAAAGTACTTGTGATTAATGAAGTTTTATGAATGAGAGAGCTAAAATGAGATTTGGATTTGCAATGCAACTTGTCAAGTCACTAAATACAGTTTTCTTTTTACAGATTTCTCTTGGTTCTGATTTGTTTAATATTCAGTGTACTATCTACTATAGAGCATTATTCAGAATTTGCCACTGGAACCCTTTTCTGGATGGTAAGTGAACTGTTTTGGGAAAGATTCTAAAGTTTGACTAAATCTAAATTGCTTTAGATGAACAAGGGAGATTACTGTTAAAAATCTTCATGCAAAGCATGCCACTAGGACTTTTAAAATAGTAGCTTCTTTCATTGAAGGAAGGTAATAGTTTAATGGGAATGATTATTTTCTGTATCTGTAAACTATGAAAGTACTTAACAGTTTTTATATAGTTTTTAGCTTTTCATAAGGTGTGAAGCTGTACCCTGTACCTCTTATAGTGGACAATTGGTGTTCAACAGTCTTACGTAGTGTAGAACTGGATATTCTGTAGGCAGGAATGTGTTTTTAAAACATATCTCTTCTAAGAGGGGTGGTAAAAAATTGGCCAAGAATCATGCTTTTCAGAGATATCTGAATCTTGAGGGTAAGTGATTTCTGTCAGACTGATTTCCCAGTATATAGACCAGGAAAGAAGAGCTTCTATCACACGTCTATGCAGCAGAGATTGGGGGTTTTGATGAATGTTATTTCTGTAACAAATGTTTCTTGGCCTTTAAGTCATATTCAGTGTCAAACAAAGCACAGTAGTCTGCCAATCACATGTAGTCTCATACTCACTGAAGGATGTACCATGATTATAGATCAGTATAACCACCAACCAAAGCAATAATACTGGCAGGGATTCAATGCTTAGCTGATTGTTTTTGTGTAGATGGTATCTGCATGTCCGGACACATATTATAGCTGGTCAAAAAAATAACTAAATTAAGCAAATATGTGGTTCATGTAGTGCCCACATAGCATTGCCAGCTATTTTTAAGTGATGTTATCGTGTTACAGATGAATCATGCATAGTCAGTAGGCAGTGTTGGAACCATTTCTTGGCCACCTTGTGTTACAGCCTTACCCTGGAGGATACCTCTCTTGAGATTGTTTTCCTGCTGGCTGTTTCCTGAGATTCCTTCCTAGAAACAGCCAGCCCAGAGATTAGCTGTTCTGCTGGCTAGTGTAGATTCACTTGCCTAGAAAGCGTTTGCCTTAAAACTGCAAAATAAATTCACTTCAACATTTGAAAGATTGCTCTTCAAGCTAATCTGATTAGTTCTTTGTCATAGAGTTGTGAGGTTTCTTGTTTCCACTAGCTAAATGATCAGACTCCTGCTTGGGACATTTCTCTCCTCCACACCTTTTTGTGAAGGGATTTCATACTGCAACTCCCATTTTACCTGGGAGAGCGCTAACCCTGCAGAAGCCTGGAGATCCTTGCTCCTTTTACTCTGTAGTAGAACATTGCGCTGATCTATTTCATACCGTAGTTGATTGTTCAGGGAACCAGAGATAGTTTCTCTCACCAAAATGTGAAAAGAAATGCGCATGTGTTCTGCGTGCCAGGCCACCCTGCTCTGTTGAAAGTGTTTGAACCGTGAAGACTGCCAGTAGGGTGAGAAACAAAAATGGACCAAAGCATCTATTGGATCAAGTTCAAAATAAAATTGCTTCAAAATAAAATGCTTCTCTCCTGATAGAAGGAACCTGTGTAAGCCCTGTCAGTGTG